TTTTCTCCACATCCCCTCCAATATCAGTTTGTGGATTTTTTGATGAAAGGCATTCTGAATAGAATGAGGTGCTACCTCATTGTGGTTTTGATTTGGATTTCTCTAACAATCAACAGTGTTGAGCATTTTTTCATATGCCTGTTAGCTATCTGTATGTCTTCTTTGGAAAAATGTCTTTTTAGATTTTCTTCCCATTTTTATAAATTGGATTCTTTTTTTTTTTTTTTTGAGTTTATGAGCTGTTTGTATATTTTGGATATTAACCCTCTGTCAGAGGCATAGTATGCAAATATTTTCTCCCATTCCATAGGCTGTCTTTCATTGGTTCTCTTTGCTATGCAAAAGCTTTTACATTTGCTTTGATTGCTTTTGCCTTGGGAAAATAAACAAAGAAAACATTGCTACAATTTATGTCAAAGAAAGTTTTGCCTATGTTCACTTCTAGGAATTTAATGGTGTCATAAACTAACATTTAGGTATTTTAAACTTGTTAAGTTTATTCTTGTATGTGGTGGGAAGGAATGTTCTATTTCATTGTTTTACATGCAGCTGTTGAGCTTTCCCAATACCACTTGTTGAAGAAACTTTTTTCTCTTGTATATTCTTGCCTCCTTTGTCACAGATTAATTGACCACAAGTGCATGGGTTTATTTCTGGGCTCTCTATTGTGTTCCATTGTTCTGTATGTCTGTTTTTGAGTTAATACCACACTGTGTTGATCACAGTAGCTTTGTAGTATAGTATAGAAACCAGAAGCATTATGCTTTGTTTTTTTTCCTCCCCTCAGAATTGCTTTGGCAATTATGGGTCTCTTCTGTTCCATATAAATCTTAGGATTATTTGTCTTAGTTCTTTGAAGAATATCATAGATATTTTGATATGGATTGCATTAAATCTGTAGACTGTTCTAGGCAGTATGATCATTTAAAAAATATTTATTCTTCCAATCCAAGAGCATAGAATATCTTTCTGTTTCTCTGAATCATCTTCAATTTTCTCTCTCAATGTTTTATACTTTCAGCATCTAGGTATTTTACCTCTTTGGTTATGTTTAGTCCTTAGGTATTTTATTTTTTGATGCAATTTTAAATGGGGTTTTTAAAAACTTTCTCTGATATTTCATTATTAGTGTATACAAATGCAACAAATTTCTGTATATTAATCTTGTATCCTGTGACCCAGCTGAATACATTTGTTCTAATAGTTTTGGGGTGTATACTTTATATAGAGTATCATATCAGGTGCAAACAGTGACAGTTTTAACTCTCCCCTTTCAGTCTGGATACCTTTTCTTTCTCATCTGATTGCCGTGGCTAGGACTTCCAATACTATGTTGAACAGAAGTGATGAGAGTGGGTAACTTTGTCTTCTTCCTGAATTTAACGGGAAGGCTTTTAGCTTTTCACCATTAAGTATTATGCTGGCTATGGGTTTGTCATAAATGGGCTTTATGTCATTGACATATATTCCCTCTATACCCACTTTGAGAGTTTTTATCATAGATGAATAATTGAATTTTGTCAAATGCTTTTTCTGTATAGAGATGATCATGTGGGTTTTGTCTTTCCTTTTGTGAATGTGGTGTATTGTACAGATTGAGTTGTATATATTGAACCATCCTATGACTCTGGAATGAATTCAACTTGATCATGGTGCTTGATCCTTTTTATGTATTGTTGAATTAGGTATGCTAACAGTTTGTTGATGATTTTTGCACCTATATTCATCAAAGAGTTGGCCTATGATTTTCTAGTTTCATAGTGTTTTTGGCTGGTTTTGGTATTGGGGTGATGGTGGCTTCATAGAATGAGTTTGGGAGCATCCCCTCCTCTTCAATTTTTTAGAACAGTTTGAGAAGGACAGGAACAAGTTCTTCTTTGTAATTTTGCTAGAATTCCCTATTAAAGTCATCCAGTCCTGGACTTCTTCTGCAGGGAGTTGTTTTATTATTATTACTACAGATTCTACTTGACTTCTGGTGATCAATCTGTTCAAATTATGTATCTTCTTGATTTAGCTTTGGCAGCCAGTCTCCTTGTAGCCAAGAGGGCTTGTTTCCTTTATGTAGGGCTCCAAGATTGAGATCTCCAGTCTGTGGCTTGACCTGCTTACTCCCCAAGGGATGTGTCTATGCATGCAGACCTTTTCATTATTTCAGATCCCAAGGTGGAAGTCCCAACCCTTGACTTTTTTCCATCCTACCTAGTTACATGGAAATCTTTCTCATACCTTTGCTGTATAGGACTACTTTGGTCAGTTTCCAGTTCCATGAGACTTGTTCCACATGTAGGTAAATTTTTGAGTTGTTGCAGGGGAGAGGTGAGCTCTAACCCTTCTACTCTGCCATCTTGATCCAATCCCTTTGCAAGTTTTGACATCATTATGTTGGCCACATAGGATGAGATGTATGTCACTTTTTCTTTCACAAGTTCTCAGAGAGAAAATAAATACTGTTGTTACTTATATCTTAAAGCTTTGGTAGAATACATGGATGTCTGAAGTTTTTTGGCAGTTGAGAGTGTTTATGAGGCAGGTGTCCAAGCTTTCTGATACAAGTATAGGCTCTTTAGAGGCTTTGTAGTGACTGTCACCCCCACCCCCAATTACTAAACAAGGGAAACATGCTCTCTGATTTATTTATTCTAACAGCTTTCAGCAATTTGCCTGAACCTAGCAATATACCTTCATAGCTCTTAAATTTGGCTTCCCCTTGCTTTTGCAGGTCAACCTCTCAAATAGGGAACCCTGAAAATTGTTTGAGCTCAGCCATCTTCAGAGTAACCATGTGGGTTAGAGAATAAGCATATATTCTGGCCATGTCAAACAAATAGCATTATAGCTGTCCCACACTACCTTCCTTTCACCCCTCATCCCTGAGCTGTTCCTGCCAGCTTTCCTATCAAAGGATTTTTCAGTCAAGAGCAAACTTCCAGTATCTATATTCACATACATCTTTTACATACACCCCCAAACCTCTAAGAACACAAGATTGTTTTCAGGTTTACCCCTTCAGCTGGCTTCAAGTTCTCTTGGAGCTCATGAGACTTAGCTTAGGGGCAAACTGGGTATATAGAAACAGAGCTATATATATGCATGTGTACTAAGTTGTTTCAATTGTGTCTGACTCTTTGCAACCCTATGGACTGTAGCCTGTCAGGCTCATCTGTCCATGAGATTCTTTAGGCAAGAATACTAGAGAGGGTTGCTATACCCTTCTCCAGGGGATCTTCCCAACTCAGAGTTTGAACCTGTATCTTTGTCTTCTGCATTGTCAAGAGGGTTCTTTACCAGTAGCACCACTTGGGAAGCCCAATGCATGTGTGTATATATGTATATAAGTGTATTAATTTGATAAAAGATGATTCCAAATTTAGAAGGGAAAGATGAAATATTCAGCAAGTGGTATTGGTATAACTCTTAGCCATCAGGTAAGAAATAAAATAATTCCTATTTCATGTCTCATACCAAAATAAACTCTGGATAAAGACCTAAATATATTAAAGGAATAAATATATAAGACATTATTCTTCATGATCTTGAAGTGAGAAAAGCTTTTCTAAGAATGACACAAAACCCAGAGCCAGAAAAGAAAAAACAGAATTATTTAAATATTTTTAAAATTTTTGCTTGAAATAAAAATCCTAATCAAAGTCATAAACAAAACCAAGAAAAATGTCTGTAGGTTTCATCACAGAGAAAGCTAACTTCCTTACTACATAAACATTTTTCACAAATCTACAAAAAAATGATAACTCTGCAAAAAAAACAGACAAACAATGTACACAGAAATGTCACTAGAGAAAAATAGATGTTTGGTTTCATTTAAGATACAAGGAAAGTGCTAATATTATAATAATAAACTTCCTTTTACTTAACAAAATGATGTTTGGTTATACACTGCTGTTAGAAAGGTTGTAAGGAATCAGGTATCCTCAAACACTGCTGATGGGGGCAGAATTTGATACAATGTCTATGCAGGGTACAAACTAGGAATAAGAATTAATTAGAACTAAATTAGTGCTTAAAGGGAATACAATCCAACTTTCAAAGATAGGATGTCTGATTGAATTATCCTGTCTGAGCTTTCTATACTGCCTATTAGCTTAGTCAGTCAGAGAAATAATACTTTCTGGAGGATGAAAACATCATTTAGAACCTCAAATTATCTCTATAATAGAGATACACACACACACATATAGTAGTATATAATGTTCGAATAAAACAAAACAAAACCAAAAGGCAAACCTAAGATATGATGACAATGTAATGTGACCCAAACCCAAGACAAATAATAAGCTAGTTATCAAATGCATTTTTTTAAAACTGGAGGATAATTTCTTCACAATGTAGTGTTGGCTTCTGCCATACAACAACCTGAATCAGCCATAAGTATACATATGTCTCTAACCCCATCCTGCCCCTCTATATTATTACAGAGCACCAGGTTGAGCTCCCTGTCAAACACATATTTAAAGTAACTATATTCAACATGTTCAAGGAAATAGAAGAGTGATAATTTAGGAAGATAACAGAGAACTTTATTTTTTTTTATTTTTTATTTTTTTCAACAGAGAACTTTAAAAAGAACCAAGTGGAAGGTCTAGAGCTAAAAGAGAACTGAAATTTAACTCCATGGGTGAGTCTACCATTAGATTAGATACCACTGAAGAACTGGTGAACTTTTAAAGATAAGTCAGAAGAAAGTATCCAAAATGAAACACAAAGAATGAAAGGATAGAAAACACAAAACAAATAAAAATATATGAGTGTGATAATATCTTAATAGCCTCCCAACACTAAAAGTGGAGAGAGATATTATTACAAGTTTGACATCAAGAAAGAACATTTAACCACAATTTATGTTTAAATTACTATTTTCTTATACAATTTCCAACCTAATAAAAATCCAGGCAAGGGGACTTAAGTATTTAAAGGAACATTCAATGTATCAAACATATTAGATAAATTATACAAATTAGAAAGAATGTTTAACTACTTACATTCCATACGCCGAGCTCACAGCAAGGCTAGTAATCTGTTGTGGAGGTTCACCATCCACCCACACCAACTGAATAACAAGTTCTGCTTGATATCCTGGAGGCATCCGCACTGGTCGTGTCTTAACACTAGAAAAACAGGAAAAATAATTGCATCATATACAGTTCGAATACATATGCTCATGCTGATTTTCAGAATTCATAACAATAATCTTCCTACAGAAATATACAATACCAGGCACTGAGGACATTATGCAAGTAAACAGTATCTTCTAGCTTTCTCAAAATACACCAAGCCACTTGTCATGTCTTAACCTTTCCTTGAAGTAGCTTTTCAGTCAGTCAAGATATAGAACTTCACTGGACTTCATGAGTTCTTTTTTCTCTTTTGATAGTAGCATTTTAAATTATTTTTATTATTTAATTATTTTTATTACACAATATTTGTTACATATGGGTAAGTTATAATGCATGACAGTAAGAACTATGACCATTAATCTACAACCCAACTTGAGTTCAACATATTCAAAACCTGAATTCCTGTTCTTGCTCTCTAAATTTGCTCCACCTCACCTTCAGCCTTCTCTATCAAAGCTATGTTTTCTTTAGGGTTCTTCAGGGAAGGAAATGTATTAATTAGTAATGAAGAATAAAAATACTGGCTGAGTAATATTCAATGGTGTATATGTACCACAGCTTCCTTATCCATTTCTCTGCTGATGGGCATCTAGGTTGCTTCCATGTCCTGGCTATTATAAATAGTGGCTGATTCATGTCAATGTATGATAAAAACCACTACAATACTGTAAAGTAATTAGCCTCCAACTAATAAAAATAAATGAAAAAAAAAATACTGAGCTCTTTTCATAGATAGTCCCCAAAAAGACCAAGGTACCTCTTGGTGGAATGTAGACCACTTGACAACTTAATAAAAGAGGATAATTTCATTTGGCAAGTTTCAAAGAATCACACAATTAACATGTAAAGTTGTTTTAAAACTTGGCAGCAACTCTTACTTGAGGCATGGGATACTGTCCTTTGTTACTCCTTCACTAGCCACAGTGTTAGTGCTTCCAGAAAGACTCCTTGAAGGAAGCTGGGATGAAAGATCTGGAAATGGAGGACTTGTTTCTGGTTCTGGGGTAATAATATCTTCAATATCATACTGCAGTCGTACCTCTAATGACTTAAAAAAAAGAAAAATCAAGTTTTGATTTAATCTAGGTTGTCATGATAATAATAATGATAATATTAAAATATCTGGCATTTTTTTGGTAATTATTATTTGTTCAGATTAACTAGTTCAATTTCAATTCATAGTAAAGATACCCTAAACTGAATTAAATAGTAAATTACATAAAATATTCAATAGCATTCACAAAAAATGTAAAATGTTTTTTATTCTTTAGAATTATAAGAAAAACACCTACCAGTGGAGATAAATTTTCTATATAATAAATATTCCTTAAGATAAAGTATAAATTACAATTCCACATATGATAAAATAAAAGGAGAAATTGGTCTGGTTAGTCCAATTAAATAAACTAAATTGGATGTGTATGTTTATTTACATACACACAACACACAAATTGTTATTTGTGCAAAACTTTTTAGCTTTAAAAAAATTCATTCAATCTTGACTTTGAATTAATTCAGTATAATTTTCCAAAATAAATTCCATATTTTGTTTATTAGTTTAGCTCTTATATAATTTCATTAGCTTGGTCAGAATTGCTTAATGAAAAAAACATGATAATTTAAATTGGAAAAAAAGGTGATCCAAAACCCTTTTTTTTAAGCTAAGAATGTTTAAAAATTACCTTATGACTACATTCAATGCTTCAAAAAAATCAATTTTATAACACAAACATTGTCTTTCATTGTAAAAATAAGCATTTTTAACACTGAACACAATTGCTTACAAAAAATGAAATTATGGAGTAGTGAATACAGCAATATTATCCAAATTATTTTCATAATTATCTTAACACTTAAATCTTCTGGTGGCATAACAATTATCAAGTGCTTACTACACTTAGATACTCTGCTAATGACTTAACATAATATCACAAAACCCTATGAAAATGGCATTACAATTTCTAGTTTATCACTACTTTCTATCTTTCTATTTTGTTTACACAGGAAATTATATGAGTGATGAAGCTGAGTCTTTACTCGGACTATACTACTGACTAATGGGGTCTTGTGACTTGTTTAGTCACACAGGTATTCACTGGTAAAGCCAGAATTAAAAGCTAGGGTTATCTGACTCCAATGCCTGGGATTTAACTACTACTATACTTCAAGAGCAATGTGTAATTTTATTCACTAAGGTAAAAGCAGTTATATTTAGGCCTTTAATAGAAAATCTTTATTTTCTGATAAAATGGAGTGGGTAGAGAAGACCCATTATACAGGTGCCTTTATTTAGACTTAACTTATCCCTTAAGAGCATCATTATTTTGAATAATTAAACTATTTCATTATGATTAAAACTTAATATTAAGTAAAGCAGCCCCATAATTATTTCCACCCTATAAAAAATGTTGCTATTTAAAAGATCATTCAAAGTAATCTTACTGCAGTTGATAGTATTTATGGCAGTTAATTGACAAAAGGGACAACCTAAAAAAATTAATAAAGATATAGAACAAAGCTTGCATTAATTTGACATTTATACATAAAATAAATCAATGACTGTGTATATAAAACCTATAGGCATAGTCTATCCTATTTAATAATACTAAATTTTGATAGCTGACTTTGTCATTTTAAATCACATTATTTTTTTAACATAGTAACAAAAACAATTAAAAATTCTATGAATTGGATAACTGACTATGTACTGTACTCTTGACGGCTTAAAACCATACCAAGCACTAGTCAAAATCTATGATAATTGTTTCCTTTTAATAACTGGAAGTGTAAAAGTTAATTTTTAAATGACTTACCACTATTTCTGTTGTAATTTCATGTCTGCTGAATTTATAAATTATGACATATGCAGAGACTCCTGATACACAGAATATTCTGCTCTCTGGACACCAGTAGATCATCTGAATGGCATATGGGTCTTCCTCTACAATCTCACATGTTTGTTTTCCTTCTCCTACCTTCTGTTTTTCAAACACTTTTGAAGTTTTTAGCTTGTATAGCATCTGCAGAGTTACTATAAGATATTAAATCATAGTTATCTTCTAATTTGCACTTAATTCTTTCATTTGTTGAAGCTTTTTCAATATATGTTACATCACAAAAATTAAAATCCAAGTAAACAAAATTAACTACATTTTAATAAGGAATTATTCAGTCATGCTCTCATATCAGTACCGTTGAGCTAGAGGAAGACTATAGGGAAAAAATAAACATGTATTGAACATATACTGTATACCAAGGAATGTGCAGGACTTTGTGTGCACTGTCTCATGTGTTCCTCAGAAGAGTCCCATGAAGTATTTCTATCCTTGTTTATTGATAAAACACTTGAGTTCAGAAAGTTTATAATGAAATTACTGAATCTACTTCTTTCCCAAGAGAAGTCCTTTTTGATCGGGATGGGGAATACATGTATATCCATGGCTGATTCATGTCAATGTATGACAAAAACCACTACAATATTGTAAAGTAATTAGCCTCCAACTAATAAAAAATTTAAAAAAACACAAACACACACACACACACACACACACAAATTTTGATTGAAGTATAATTGCTTTACAGAATTTTGTTGTTTTCTATCAAACCTCAACATGAATCAGCCATAGGTATACATATATCCTCTCCCTTTTGAATTTCCCTCCCATCTCCCTCCCCATCCCACCCCTTTAGGTTGATGCAGAGCCCCTGGCTGAGTTTCCTGAGCATACAGAAAATTCCCCTTGGCTGTCTATTTTGCAGATGGTGATGTAAGTTTCCATGTTACTCTTTCCATACATCTTTTTTCATTGTTTTCCCTTTTGATTGTTGGATGAAAGGTTGATGCTGTTCAAGAGTTTATTCCTCTTAACAAATTTTTAGACATTCCTTCAGATGAGAAATACTTGTAATTTACCAGTTAGCAATATTGGGAATGATCTCGATTATTTTAGAAAGGCCATTTCTGAGTGGCTCTGTGTTAGGAAACATTCAGTTATAATTTCAAAAAGTCTGGTCTGTGAATTGTTTTCAGGAATATTTATTTGGAGGAATATTATTTCCATTTTAGAACTGGATGATAGTTCCACAATGTTAAGATCTCTGATCCCAAAAAGGATTCTTGAGAAAATTTCTAAAAGTCTGGGAGTTCCTGCCAAATGTGCACAATCTGAAACAATCATGAGAAACATTAGTCAGACTCAAAATGAAAGAGATTCTACAAAAGAACTGGCCTGAACTAAAAATGCCATGATGAAGTACTTAGCCATGCCAGACTAAAGAAAAGTCAAAAGATAGACTACTACAATCCAACAAATAATCTGAGGTTTTATTTTACTAAATGAGATATTATTGGAACAATTGGCTAAAGTGAGTAAGATCTGGAAGTTAGATAGTAGTATTATATTAATATTAAACTCCTGATTTTGATAACTATGATTTCATAACATAAAAGAGTGCCCTTGTTTGTAAGAAATACACACTGAAGTATTTAGGGGGGCATGTACTGTTAAGAACATCATATTTGTAGCTTACTCTCAAATGATTACGAAAAGCTATGTACATGTATATGTTCGTGTGTGTATGTGTGTAAGAAAATGGAGGCAAAAGAGAAAGGGTACAAGCAAGCAAGTGCTAGATTGACAGCATGCATATGGTAGAAGAGTGGGTGAAGGGAACACATGTATACACTGAAATTTGGGTAATCTTGCTGAAGGCTATACACACTTCATTGTACATTCTTGTGATTTTTCTGTAAGCTTGATATGACATAATGATTTGACTTTGAGTTAACCAATAGAGATTATCCTTAGTAGGCCCAAAAGAATCTGGTGAGCCCTTTAAAAGAGGGACTGAGGCCCTCCCTGAAGTTAGAGACACACTCCTTTAAAGAAACAAATCACATGAGTTTTATTTATTTATCCCAATTATTTTTATTAGTTGGAAGCTAATTACTTTAAAATATTGTAGTGGTTTTTGCCATACATTGACATGAATCAGCCATGGATGTACATGTGTTCCACATCCTGAACCCCCCTCCCACTTCCCTCCCCATCCCATCCCTCTGGGTCATCCCAGTGCTCCAGTCCCGAGCACTTGTCTCATGCATCCAACCTGGACTGGCGATCTGTTTCACATTGATAATATACATGTTTCGATGCTGTTCTCTCAGATCATCACACCCTTGCCTTCTCCCATAGAGTCCAAAAGTCTGTTCTATACATCTATGTCTCTTTTTCTGTCTTGCATATAGGGTTATCATTACTATCTTTCTAAATTCCACATATATGCATTAGTATACTGTACTGGTGTTTTTCTTTCTGGCTTACTTCACTCTGCATAATGGGCTCCAGTTTCATCCATCTCATTAGAACTGATTCAAATGAATTCTTTTTAATGGCTGAGTAATATTCCATGGTGTATATGTACCACAGCTTCCTCATCCATTCGTCTGCTGATGGG